ACTTAAAAAACGAACTGAGCAACACACTTCGATATAATGCTTCGATATAACATAATGCTTTTTAAAATTACTTAGTGGGCTGCGATAGCAACATTGACATTCTGAGCAGTACGAAGAAAGTATAAATAATTCTTTTCATCAGATTCAAGCAACAATAAATTTCGAACAAATTACATTTTCGTTACTAAAAAGATGTCGGGTCTGTGTTAGTGGAAATGGGGGTATTTTTGAGCATTTACCCAAATAAAATCATTAAAATGATGACTAATGTTATTAATTTTAAGTGTGTTTTCGTTCTTTTAAATTATTTTTTAACTTACTTTAACTTATTCTAGTTTTGTGTTATGTGTAAAGTGTGTTTGTCAAATTTTGTTAGTGAATGTTATATTAGCAGACAGAAATATTCCCTAGGCTCATATTTTGAAAATATGTACGGATCTAACGTAGTAACTATGTCCAATTGAAAATTTAAAACAAAAATGGTGAAGGTGCCGCTCGATATACGTTATGGCATAAAATCACAAATATTTCCTGTTAATTTTACCGAGTTGAACCAAGAGGTAGTATATGCAAAAAAATTGGGTTGTTAACCATTGGGCATAGTCCGTCCCTGGCGTTCTGGGCATAATGAAGTTTCACTTACAACATCAAAAAAAGCTGTACGCATGTGTTATCGAACACCAAATTTGCATCATACTGAAGTTAATAGTTTAGAGACTGTAAATAAAAATAACTTTTTAATTTTCATCTTTGAGGGATATTAACGAAGGCCCGTACGAAAATAATTTATATGAAAAACTGATATTAATTCGACCTCAGCTTTTTGTACCCGACTTTTTTGTATCAAGTACAGGGACACCCTGTATACTAGATGTAACTAATATTTTGTTGTGTTTAGAACAAAAGATTTTAGTATTTTTGAGAAGTTTTGCTTCATTGGTATTTGTCATATATTTAAAATTGCATTTGAACAGAAAACTCCTGTGCACTCCCTTTGAGAAATGAATAGTTTTAGTTATTTTAAATTCATTTAACTGTGTCACAAGCTCATTTTAATTAAACAAATAATATTACGAAAATGGCTCGTTTCAAGCTCATTCAAGGAAGTTATAGACTTGGAAAACACCTTGTATAATTCCAGAAAGTGAAACTGTAATTTTCTCAAGCATACCTAACATTACAAACAAATTTTAACCGCTTTTAACTTCTTGCGCTGACACTGACATATATCGGTTGGCGTCAACGATGTCTCTAAATATAGGTGTCTGGGGGATGTTTGAAAATAGTCCTCAAAGATATGTAGAATCAAGGATTAACCTGGGATGTCTGGCTTGCTAAAGCTAGTTGTTAGCCTGTGCATCTTCTTTGAGAAACATTTTAAATTTTAATTCTTAAAGTGGGTAGGAAGTGATCTCCGAGTCCTTAAAAGCTTTATTATGGGAAAGTAGCTTCCTTAAATTCAATCCCTAAGTCTGACCCATTCAAATCAGTTTCTTGAAATACTACAACAGATTTAGCGCTAAGGATTTTCTTCTAAATATCTCGGTACCATATTTAATAAAAAGTAGTTCAAATAATAAACATTTTTCTAAATTCCCGTCATAGGAAGTTAGATGCTTTAATTGCCAATACTTATCAGATATATAAAAGATTAACTTAAAAAACAAGTTCATAAATGATTTATCAAATATTTATCTAAAAAAGTAGAACTAAACTTCCAATTTATACTATGTAAAATAAAATAATTCTCATACATAAAGAATTAAATAATGTTGCAAATATTATAAATTATATTTTCCTTCCTGTTCTTAATTATGACTCATGACTTCAGGCAGAGTGCTGAATTTCAGTAATACAATAATTAATATATTTTTTAATTATTTACTGAATCCATGATTATAATTTTCTTTTATATATTTTTCAACATCAAATCTGATCGTAATTAATGTGCTTACCAAGATAAATAATTCATAGCCTATTTGAAGAAAGGGCTTCGCAAAAGAAATATTTGATACTGTAGTCGACATGAATACAAAAAATAGAAAGCATTTAATAAATTGAAGCCCGAGAAATGCTTGTCTGCCACAAGGAGATTTATTCCGTCACTGCCATTTCCTACTTTTCCCTTTTTCATTGCAGACTAATACCGTACGTGAAAAGACTTGGGCCCCGCTTTATTACAGAAAATCCCTTTGAAAAAATATACAAGTTTAAGTGTCAGAATCAAAATGATATAAAAATAATTCATCTTTCATCTTTCTATTATTATATTAACACTGGAATTTTCATTTTCGTTACAATTTTGTTCTGTCACGTAGTTCTAAGCACAACAAAACAGTTGACTTTGGCAGAAGTACTTTTCCTTATCAAAAAAGTGTTTTGTCAGCTCTTATCAACTTTAATTTCATTTTTTTATATCATCATATGCCAATCTTATGGTTATAAGATTTAAACTGCTGTATTTATTAAAAAACATTTTTTTTTCAAATATTTTGACACTCAGTTTATTATGAAGATGATTCACAACATCTGAAATTTTGAATGATCTAACTAAAGATACAAATTCATTGAACTAGTAGGTATAAAAATAAATCAATCAATGACGCAGATATTAAGTATTTGTTAAATTAAGTTCGTGTTTTTGAAAACATCTCTTATTTTATTTGGTAAAGGAGCAATAGCACTATTATATTATTTGTCTATAAAATTTAATAAATCGAAACTAATGTTAGACTATTGTGTATTATACTGTATATTCCAGTATATTCCTAAGATCATTCGAAATACAATTTTAGAAAATTTCTTGTAAATTTTTTTATCAACTTGGCAAATCTTTGCTAAATTTAAATGCTTGTCTAGTATTAGCTATCATTACTAATTATACTCATCAATAATTTTGTACTCCTAGAACGACGGAATGTCATCGTAAAATTTGTAGTACCTAAATCTTATCGACACCAAAATCGACAAGTTAAATATACAGGGTGTTGTAAATAAGTGCGAAATATTTTAGGGGGTAGTTGCGGAAGTTACTTTGTAAGAAATGTTCATATAAACGTAGGTCGAAATATGTTTCGTTTCCGAGATACAGTGTTTAAATTTAAATTTTTTATTTATTTTTATTAATTATTTCAAAGAGTTTTAAAGATATTGACTCGTAATTTGATGGTTGTATTTTACTTATTGTTAGAAATATTGACAGCAACCAATAAGATAATGTATCAATAGAAATTAAAAATACACAACTTGCAATAAAATATGTTTTATTTTTTTCCTCAAAAACGGAGGATCCCACGAAAAAAATTGAAGAGCCCAGTTTCATTCAGAATTGATGGCGGATTTCTAAAAAAATATTAAAACGGGAAAAGGTTGTGGCAATCTCTCACGAACGCCACTGGTGCAAGTAAATGCACATTTATCTCTCGAAACCGTTTTACAAATTTCGAGTCAATATCTTTAAAACTCTTTGAAATAATAAAAATAAATAAAAAATTAAAATTTAAACACTGTATCTCGGAAACGAAGCACATTTCGACCTACGTTTATATGAACTTTTTATCACAAAATAACTTCGGCAACCACCCCCTAAAATATTTCGCACTTATTTACAAACACCCTATATAATGAAGAATTTTTGGAAAACCATTTGATAAGTACTTTGTCAATAAATTAATTTCGAAGATACAAAACTTCTGAGTATATTCGTAAGCTGTTTCTTTGTCAAATATTTGGTTAATTTAAATGTTTTGAAAAATTTACAACTGATATTTTAAATTTTCTTTTTAAAATTAGGTTAGAACGGTCTGTTTAAAATTCTTGAGGTGAAAATAGATGATTTGCCTTACCTTAGTATAAAAGTTGATAATTACGGAGATACAGGGTGGAAACGGTGGCTATTTTGTACATTTACTTAAAGTGTTTTTACATAATTAATAAAATTCACATATTTTCAGTTTTGTTATATTGCTTGTTTTCAGTTTGTTTGATTGCGCTTTAAAAAAGGAATTTTGAACCAAGGTAAGTTGAGTTGAATCGTCCTTTAGGACGAGATATACCTTTTTTAAACACAACACGTAGACGAACAAATATTGTTATTGCAAAATCATGTACAGTGAAGGGCAAAAAAGTTAGGACGGTTTGCAAATGCTCTATTCTATACGCTGTATATGGCGCCCTCAACACCGTACATAAAATTTGTTAACATTTGAATTTTTACCATAAAAACCCCTGTACACCAAGTTTTATAACGTTGTCACGTTTCTATCAATAAAAGTGAGGAAAATCGAAAATAAATTATTAACTTCGACGCCTTGTATCTCCGTAATTATCAAATTTTGTACTAAGGTGAGATAAGACAAATCGATCTATTTTCACCTCGAGCATTTATGGTAGAATTCTGTACAGACTTTTCGGGGATACCCTGTATATTATTATCTGCTGAGATTTACAGAAGTTAAAAGCATAAAGCAATAGTGAAATAATTGGCGATTGTTCTAAGAGTGTGCAGAGAGAGTAGTTCATATGTAACAAAAAAATTTGGATACAATCGTTGGCTGATGAGAAATTGGTTCATTTGTTCCACAAAATTTGAAACTGATAAATTTTGGAGAAATTTTAAAATTTTTTGACAAATTTATTAATTTTTTAAATTTCGCTTTTAAGAACAAAATATTTAAAAAATACAAGTACATGTATTGTTGGGCGCCAAGGAATACTGTTTCCAAAGTAGTAAGTAGAAATTTGATATTTGGTGGAGACTAGATATATCTACTAGTTTCCGTCTTGCTAATGATTGACATTAAAATAGTTAGAGCTGTAACTTAATACTTGCAACAAAAATCTGGGAAACCATTTCAAAGGTATCAAACAATAATGCACTAAAATGTCATGGCTACTTCAATGCTAAGCAGTGAAGTTCATAAGATCAAATTTTTTTTTCTAGAGCCTTATTTTCAGTTTCATATCTTTTAATGATGTTTTTTTTCTGGTGTTGATTTTACCTGTAAAGTTCAGCGAAGTGTGTGATGAGTGCCTTATACCCTGTGTAAATCTACACCCCAGGATGTCCTTTATCGTATCTAACATTATCTAACCGAGCACCACCTCACACACACACACTTATCGTTGGGAGACTGGCGTGGCGAATTTGGATCATCCCGAAGGCACGTTGCCAGCCCAAAACACTATTTCGGACGAAGTCCGCCGAGACACAATTAGTTCACGGCGCTTTTAGTAATCCGCGGGCGCACACCAGTAAACAAATCGTTTAATTTGCATATAAGCCCAATAAGAATCTAGACAAGTATGAGTTAGAACGTGATTCACTTGTTGACAAGCCAAAAGATGTATGTGACAATAATTGAATTGCCTACCTCTTCCATATATTTACACAACTGTGCTGTGCTTTTAATTAAATTAGGAAGACATGTTTTTAATTAACCTTGTCTTTAATCCTAAACCTTTACACTCATAAAACGTCCTTAAAAAATTCAAGGGTATAATAATCAGAACAGGCAAAGTCAAGGCTTTATGTCGCCTTGACTTTGCATCAAAATTGTAAATTTAAGTATCCAAATAGAATAGAAGTTACCTAATGGTGCTTTCACTAAGGAAAAACACATTAGGAATAATTCAATCAATAATTTCGTAATGATGTTCCTCAAAGCCTTTTATCGCAAACTATTTAACCTTTTACATACAGGGTAGCCCATCGAAAACGTACCGCAAGGCATTACAGGGTAGTAATGAACTTTTGAAAATCCATCCATTATTTTAGAAAACATGCAGTTTTGAAAATACGAACAATATTTTTGACGAGAAATGCGAAAATCGATTTATTTTTACTTCAAAACTTACGGTATTAGCTTGGTAAATTCCTTCAAAAGAATTCGCTGTTTTTTTTTCTGATTTGCGAATTCTTTAGCCTGATTTTGGTGAGGAAAAATTGTCCGCTTTTTGTTTCGTATTTAGATAGGCCACAAGAAGTTGCTAGATAACTGTCTTGTGACTTGTAGTTGAAGAGTACCAATACTGCCGAGTCTTTTAAATTGATTAATTATGGTGTACTCAATTCCAGAAAGAGTAGAAATTATTGAGCTTTTTTTCAAAAACAATGAATGCGGAAATCGGGTCGCCGAACTGTTCAACCAACGGCATCCTGAGAAACATGCGTCTGGAAAAATTGTTCGCGAATTGGTGGCCAAATTTCGCGAAACTGGCTCCGTTCATAACAAAAAGAGGCAGGTTGAAAATCCGGTACTAAATGAACCTACGGAAATAGCGGTATTGGGGCAAGTGGCAATGGATAGTACGCTGAGTACAATGCAATTGGCTACTGCGACAGGAGTGAGTCGTACAAGTGTCCAACGAATATTAAAAAAATACAAATTCCATCCTTATAAGATTCGGCTAGTGCAAGAGTTAAATGAAGACGATTTTGATCGTCGTTTGCAATTTTGCGAAATAATGACTGAACGAGCGATAAACGATAATTTCCTCTTTAATGTGTGTTTTTCGGACAAGTGTACGTTCTTCTTAAATGGTTTAGTGAATCGCCATAATTGTCGTTACTGGGCTGATACCAATCCAAGGATTTTCCATGAGACACACTCCCAACACCCCCAGAAGTTGAATGTATGGGCAGGTATTTTTGGAAATTCCATTGTAGGTCTTTTTTTCCTTCCTGGAAATTTGACAGGCGATATGTACTTGGATTTACTACAAAATGTCATCGACCCAGCTCTAACAAATATCATAGAGGACGACCCTGCTTACAATGAACACGAACTGATTTTCCAGCAAGACGGAGCTCCTCCACATTACTCGCTGAATGGGCGCAATTACCTAAATGAGACGTTTCCAGGACGCTGGATAGGACGAAGAGGTGCAATTGAGTGGCCCCCTCGGTCACCCGACTTAAATCCTTTAGATTTCTTTCTCTGGGAGCACATTAAAAGCAAAGTTTACAGCACTCCATCTGATACCTTGGAAGATCTGCTAGGACGAATCATTAATGTATGTCGCGAAGTAACACCGCAAGTGCTCCAGAATGTTCGACAACGGTTTGAAGACAACCTGTATCATTGTATGCAAGTTGGCGGACAACATTTTCAGCATTTACTTGACTAATACCGTAAGTTTTGTAGTAAAATTAAATCGATTTTCGCATTTCTCGTCAAAAATAATGAATCGATTTTCAAAAAGTAAGAATCAATGTATAGAGAATTAAAAGCCCTTTCTAATTTCCCATTTTCCCAATTCCCATTTGAAAAATTTAGGGGATAGCACCCCCACTTAGAGGGTTGAAGATTTTGGTATGCATTTTGAGCCAAAAGTTGTCCTCCTCAGAAACAAATTTGACCTGTTTTTGGATTTTGCCGAAAAGTTCTTTACTACCCTGTAATGCCTTGCGGTACGTTTTCGATGGGCTACCCTGTATTTGTAAACCAACGTATCTACGTATATCCGTATCCCAGGAAAAAGATGTGGAGTATCTTTCCAGTGGATGATTTAGTCCCTAACGTTTCATTTGAAGAAACATGTATGATGTCTTTAAGCATATTAGATTGACTAATCTATATCCTTCTAAAATTTAAAAGAATACATATGAGTGAGTTCGTACATTTTTACTACGAAAAAAAAAATACACATTCCGAAGAAATAAGAGTTCTATGATATATAAGATATGATCTTGATGTTAGGTCGATAAACATTCAACTGATACAGTAGGTATATGTATTTTTTAAAATTAAGACATATTTTTTTATTTGAAGATGATTCTGGTGAAATTCTTCTATTTCTCCTTTTCTGGTTACTTTCACTTTCTTTACGTTACCAACTGGTACTTTTCTAGAATGACATTTTACTACTCTAGATCAGTCATTAAAAGTTCATTTTCTGCATTTATAGCATTACTATCTTGTTCAGTCATACGTTATAAGGATTATAGACTCAAGTCAATTGGACTCTGAACCTTCTCTTGATTTCGTCGTATTTAATTTTTCATTTCACACCACAACATCTCTAGCATCTTTAATTTTTACTGTTTTTTTTTATTACATATGATTATCTGAAACTTGTTGGTAATTACAAGCGATTATACAGGATGTCCCGGTACTTGATACAAAAAAGTCGAGTCAAAATAATATCAGTTCTTCATATAAATTTTTGCATACGGGCCTTCGTTAACAAGTTACGGACCCTCAAAGGTGATAATTAAAAAGTTATTTTTATTTACAGTTTCTAAACTATTAACTTCAGATTGATGAAAATTTGGTGATCGACAACACATGCGTACAGCTTGTTTTTGATGTTTACCATTTTTTGTTTTTAATTTTTAATTAGACTGAATTACTATGTTAGAACCGTACATATTTTTAAAATTAGAGCTTAGAAAAACTTACTGTCTGGTAATGCAATTTTCACTAACAAAATTTGACAAACACACTTTAAACATACAGGTAACACAAAATAGACCATCAAAATGCATTTTCAATATGAACACCTTCCACCTTCACACACTTCCTAAGTCAACGAATGTTATTTGTTTGTACACAAAAAAGCATTTCTGAGGTATGTCTAATATTATCATAATGGAAATTAATTCTTTGTTGCCATTCATTATTTGTCTGTACACTAACTTTTCAGGTGGAAGTCCATCGGGTTCAAGTTTGGAGAACGTGGTGGCCATGAAATTGGACCTGCTCTCCCAATCCATTTATTTTTAAAGACAATTTCATAGATTAATATTGAAATGGAGAGGAGCCCCATTATGCATGAGCGGATGTCTAACGGAACATCGAAAACCGGGACACCCTGTATACTATAGTATTTTGTTTCTGTGACAAATATTTTCAATTATTCAACAGTGTTTTGGTCTGAGACCTTTTAGGAGCTTTGTTCTCTGTCAAATATATAAATCGTCTCCGTTGTTTTGAAAGTGGCACTAATGATTTCACTATTTTCTGAATTTTATGGGTCGAAGTTCCATCCACTCTCACCCTTTTGATGGCAGAAACATTTTTTGTCATTTATTGTTATACATACAAACTAATTTTTTCCTCAACACTTCTGAATCCATGTTATTTAGGATGTTTTAATTAAGGTCCAAAAATCTTTTGATGATTCCTTTTAAAAGATTAAGGATGGTCTTTCATAAATCTCTATTATCTTGTCCTGAAAATTTTGTATTTAACTATTTTACGTAAATTTGAGAGATAAGGTAATAAAATCACTGACGGGAATAAAATAACTGTATTTAAAATAAAAAACTGTTATATAGGGTATATTTAAATGAGTGACCACAAATACCTTGATAGATAATCTTCAGCCTAAAACATGATAATTCGCCCAAAAATACCTGCGTCTGCAATTGCTCCAATTGACAGTGTTTAAGTTTTTTGAAAAATTTTACAAATTTAGGAATATCTCAAAGTATGTTTGATATAGATTGTTGAGATTTGGGGTGGTAGCTTTAGTAAGTAAGTAAACGAACAATTTGCTTATAATTACGTCAGTCAGTGACGAGAACAATGACAGAACATCGACGTCACTGAATAGTTTGTAAATTCGATATGTCGATTAGATTCACAATCAGTTAAAAGAATTCGTAAAACGATTAATTTTCAAATTACATACTATTATTATTTTAATATAAGCTTACAAAGTTGAAATAAAAGTAAACTTACTATAAAACTGTTCGTTTCACAAAAAATATACGAATTATTTATTTATTACCAATACAATGTAAAATTTGAAATGTAGAATGTAATCGTTAACATCTTAACCTCAATCTTAGAGATGTCCATTTCCTTCAGTTATCAAGATTAATCACTGCCTTGTTTTAGAGGTCTTACTTATTTATTATGTACATATACCATAACTCTTTCAAATCCGAGCCTGTAAATAGTTTTAGCAAAAAATTGAAAAAGTATTTACTTTCCATAATAATTATCTATATTTGCATCATGTGTTAAACATTACTTTTCAATGATCTTAAAATATTTCTTCTAATATGTTATATTTATAAATACCTACCTTTTTAAATTTGATTATGGTTAGGTAGAGAAACTATAACCTAAATTTCATTACAGAAATTTTAAATTTTCTAAGTAGTAGTAAGG